TAGGTGGTAATCGGATTTTCTATGTATGCCAAACATATTCTTTTGTGTCTATCTTACCATATAATACAACTTTACTTTCATCAGTCAAAAGCATATTTGTCACTGTGACACAGTCGTGCACCCATGTACTCTCAGACCCAAACGCGCAGCTTTCTGGGACTTCTTGCATTCAAATAATGATTAATCAACCGTCTACAAACTGTCACATCACTGGCAGAGCGATTTAACATTTTTTCATACTCTTTAAGGATATTGAAGCATGGTCTTGCATGGTCTTCGACCATCGTCGACCATCTTTTAAAAGAGAAGTTTTTGTATACAAAATCGATTTTCAGTCTACTTCTTATAGTTAGATGGGTTAAATAAAATAGTGAGAGTGCATACAACTTAGTTTTCAATCTCATTATGCCTCCTGCCTTATGTTTTTAGTCTAACTCTTAGGTCTCCTTTTCTGGACCGAGCAATGATTTCTTCAACGCTTCAAAATCAAAAGTACCGCAATGTCAAAAACTTTCTTTCATCAAATTATTCGTTATCTGAATTAAACTTGCAAATGGTGACTTATTTAAATTAATTTGCTTTGTTTTTCATTTTTTTATAATAATTAAAGCCAGCACTACTATTTCATTGAACAGAAGATATTATGGGTAGTTGTCTAAAGTCATGAAAAACAAGAAGATGGAATGCAAATGTAACGGGGTTTCTAATGGTTACATTCCAGGCTTTCCGTAAAGGTATCACTTGTTCAATTTGAAAGAGTAGAACCATCTCAAAAGGAGTTTTGAAAGTAGTGAGGTGCGGCACTACTATTTTATTGAACACAACTTAAGGTAATTATGTTATGTAGATGACGATGAGCGCGAGACTAACTGCAGGTCAGACGGGCCGAATCGCCCGTGCCCTAGGCAGATCATCTTAGAAGAGAGCGAAAGAAAGCGATAGAAAGAGAGCAGCTCGGTCAGATGCTAAGCCAAGCACGAAAGTCATATGGAGCGCGAGAGGCCAGCTTAGATGCTGTGACAGCAACAACAAAGCGAAGATGGCGGTATAGACCTACGAAAGAACGGCCGCTGCGAGAACAATGTTTATGTAGAGTGTGTTGTGACAAAATAACTAACAATGGTGATGATTTAAGTTAGGCTATAAATTAGGGCTTAGACGACTGAATATTGCGTTAGGAAATCCGAAATTTATTGTTTTGCAAAGGTAATAGTTACATCTTTAAGAAAAAAAAACAATACCTGTAACTTTAAAACGCGACCGACAGATTTGAAATCAGCGAGCTTAAATTAGTAAAAAAAACATTAAAAAAGTTCTAGGAAACACGGCTGAGTAATGGTTGTTATTTTTACAATGTCAACGTAAAGGGCATGAACAAAACAAACCGATCTAAATGGATTTATCGTAACGTTTTGTCTATTTCCCGATCAGTCCTGTACTCTATTGATGATTCAGAACCACAACAATCTACATTTACCATAGACAAGATAATTATAATTTAAGAAAATCTTTTCAAAACTGCAGCGATTTCTCTGAATCTGTTGGGCAAATTCAAAACCAATGTAGGGACGGCTTAAAGTCAGTATTGTTGGCGAGTTTCCTATTTTTTTGTTTATCTGAATACGGTTTCCATTTCAAGTTAGTCCACTATATGTAGCGGAAGTGCCGGAAGCGGAAGTTTTAATATAGCTATATATCGAGAAATCTCGATATGATAGGAAAAAACCAAGTACAAGGTTGGATTCAGCGTCTCCAATTACCTTAAAAACAACATTCAGTTCTTAATCAACAAAACCCTTATTCCCTTGCGTAAACTAGATTTTAGATGTAAATTTAAACTGATAAAATATTTAAAAGTTCCACATAAATCATAAGCTGACATACATATATGTATGTATATACTGACCGAGCACGGGTATAATAGTAGATATAATAGTAGTAATAGTAGATATGATATGATATGTATGATATACGTATGATAGAGATACAAGTTTAGAGTGGTTATTATAAAATACCAATATGATGGCTTATATGGATATGAGAATTATTCCCATATAGAGTATGCCCATGATTGCTTGGGATTGGGATAATTATACAGAGCTTGTGGTGCAGCATACATACACACATATGTACATACATATGTACAAATTCGAGATCTACGTGGCTCCATTCGAAGCAAAACTACTACAATGTACATACTGTATGTACACTTGTACCCACAAGACAATCAATGCATAGGGTACCTCTGATTTTGGGAAATATTATTTAGCAACAAAAGAAGTAAGTGTCGGGTTGCTGTCTGGCGTTTGTGAATGGTGGCAAGCCAAGGTAGGAAGAGGAGCCAGGAGCAACGATACTGGAGCTCTTATTTAATTAAAATTTCATTAACATTCTGTGCTGTCACCGTGCGTCGGGTGTCGACTGGATCCATTGCAACGCGTTGGCAAAAGCCAAATGCAAAGTCAAACCCAGACCCGAAAGGCGGGGGCTTTGCTTACCTTACCCCTGTTACTCCTAGCAATTCGCTTTCTAACCGAGTGCTGCCGCTCCTCCTCCTCAACCATACAATACCATTCACAAGGACCCTGCAATTAAAATAAAACAAATAAATGTCGCCAGAGTGAAATGTGAAAGAGGAACGGGCCGCAGTGAGACATATTTCAGCATTGTAGATGAAGGTGCAGCAGCTAGAGCACCTTTGTTGCGCCTTCCCTGCCCCACATCAACAACAAAATCAAGAGCAGCAAGAGCAGCAAGAGCAGAAGCAACGAGACGACAAAAGCGAATTGTTGCTGAATCGCAGAGTCAAAGAGAACGACGAGGCGCGGAGGGGCTGGGCAGAGCGGGGCGGGGCAGAGCGTGCGGGACGACAGTCAAATACCAAAGTGCAGTTGTTTTTATTATCTTTTGACAACTGACAACGACAAATACTTGATATGCCGACCTTCACCCGGAAGTCTCCCGCGGCCTCCTTAACCCAGAGCAGCCCCCAAAATGTCCAATCCAGGCCAAAATGTCCAAACTGGCCTTCCACAATAAGGACATGACAACTGATTGGGCTCCATCCAACCCATAGTTTCGTGTCGTTTCCGAACCGTCAAGCGTGAAGATCGATGGAAAGCAGTGGTAGGAGAAAAATCAATTGGGTTTTTTACGGAACGATACGGTGGTTGACTCCTGCATGACTCCTGCCCAGCAGCCCTTGGTGGCTGGTAATCTCCAATCGATCGAAAATCAAAGCGACACCTCGATGTAAATTGTGAACCAACCACCAAATTTCTGTATTCAGCAATTCAGTTGAAAAGTTACTCCATTGAGCTCGCTCGTATGAACGGGCTGAGCTGTTCAAGATGCGGTTCTGCTCCCAGCTTACATCTTTGAGCTACTGGAACTGAGTAGCATTAGATATGAAACCTTCATCTCTTCTGCTTATACGAGTACATATGTAAGTTCATATAATCACCCTTACTTCCTTGAAGGCACCGATTAAGTGCGCCATAATCCGTTTGACAGCTGCATTCATTAGCCTTTCAGAAACGCAAAGATAAAAAAAAATACTAATTAAAAAAAACCAAATCAGAATTCATTAAAACGTTCTAGAGCCCCAATTTCATCCGAAAAAGTTGGTCTGACTCGTTCTGTGACTGTAGAGTAGTGTAATCAATCAGGACCGAAATGCCTAACGGAAGAAAAGGGAGTGTCCCCTTAGAAATTACAAAGTATAGGGACAAGCTTTTATTAGCCAGAGGCTTGGTCTGTGCTTGTCTGGGATCCCTTTATCCCGCATACGAGTCATCAGCAGCTGAAGGTTTGGCTCTGGGGGGTCTGGCCACTGTTTAAGAGTGAGGAGTAGCAATTCTTCGCACTGGCCAGGACGGGGATGGATGGCTAGGCATACGTATTGGCTAAGTACTTGTCGGTTTTGTCATAGTCACTGTCCGTGTTGGAGGACAGGAGGACAGGAGGACAGCAGGGCAGGCAGAATGGGCTGGCGGCTTGCCAGCTGAGGCACATTGAAAATGGATGAAAAGGATAAGTGGGCAAGTGAAGGGCAGCACTGTCGTCCTGGGCAAGCGATGCCCACACTGTACGAGCCCTAGCCTAGCCACCCGCACTCTCCGGGCTTAATGCTCTTTGAACTGGGAACAAACAACTAAAATAAAGATTGCACATGAGGTGGTGCTCAGTTGTGGCTTCTCTGTAATTGAATTAGCCGGAATACTTTCGACGTCGGACTGAACTAGGCTGCTGCAGGTAAGCGATGCAAGCGAACTCGATTAACGGTCTGGATCTTGTCGTTCCAATGCCCTGGGCCAGGGCAGGACAGGAATCCATTCGATTCCATTGGTCACCCTGCTCTGGAAAGCACTTCGAAGCCACTTCATAGCGGTCAGGTCAAAACGTTTTTTGGTACACAGCTAGTACATAAGTATACATATATATGTACATAATACATACATATGTATGTAATCTTAGCTTATGCAATATATTCAGCAGGGGGGTTGTGTCCATGTCATGTCATCAGAAACAGACACAAAGGTATTGGGGAAACCAGAGGGCAATTTCCTTTGGATATCACACTCTCTCTCTCTCTCTCTCTCCCTCTCTCTTCTCCCACCAACGAATTACCATCAGCCGTCCTTTCTCTTTCGCTCCGCCGAAAGGCGTGTGAACTCGGTGGGTGGGGGGACTCGTCAACCCGAAATTTTTTTGTTCATTTTGGCTATACAAATTATCCGATCAAACCCAAATCTGGTAGTTCTGATCGTTCTCTTAGTGGAACCCCAAAGCAAACACCGTTTCTAGCTGTAGCGGATAGTGTAATTGTAGATAGTCTATGAAAGATTTGAGGTTCTAATGGTCAGAATTACTGAATAGGGCCTTTGGAATCTCTTTGGGCCAGGCGTCAAGTCAAAGTCAAACGGACAGAGAGGTAAAGATCGAACGGGTCCAACTGCCTTGACTTTAGCGTATTTATGTGTAGGGCAAGGAGGCTACGGCTACTTTGGCCTACGATACATCCGCACCCCATCTATTTCGTCCAGACGCTGCCGCAGAGCACGTTGAGCAGCAGACAGCGGCACAACAGGCGGCCGTCCATGTTTCGAAACCACATAAATTGGTGCGGTGCTTCCAGCCAGCAACTCAAGGCCGCGGTTGAGTGGCACGGGCCGCCGTTTATCCGCCGCACGCGCCACCCAACGCTGCCAAGCCAGCTTTGACTGACGACCGCGCTCTGCAGCGATTTCTTGGAGCTCGGCTTCCTCACGCTGCTTGACCGACCTCTGTCGCTCTTGTTCCCTCATCTTCTTGAGATCCCACTGCTCCACCCGTCGCTGCACTTCTTCCGGCGTACGGGACGGCTTGCGCCCGGACCCTCCCGCCAACGTGCTGCCTCGAGGAGCGCTCTTTACTTGGATGAATGGCATGTGCGCCGATGTAGGCGTCTTGATCGAGGTCATAGGCTTGGAAGGAACGCCCGCACCTGAGTCGTCGCTCCCGAATGCAGATTTGATGCCGGGAATTCGAGCACCCAGATGACGCTGCTGCTTAGACGCCAGCCAGTCTGAGTAACACTGGTCGGACATCTGCTTGCGAACTCTCACGGCCACTGTCAAGCGATGAGCCTCACGTCGTTGGAGACGTTGTTGCTGGTAAGCCTCTTTTCTGTTACATAAATGGTGAGGTAAAAATGGTAAAAGGGTTAAAGAGAGGGTCGTTATAATTTTTCATTGAGGTACGCTCCGGTTTTCACATTCACTTTGCGTGTTCCTTTTCAGCAAAAAGTCATACTTTTCATTTTAAGGCGCTCTGGAATCCACTTTTGTGAATTTGTTTACTCTCTGTACTGTTAAGCGCAAAATTTACTCCTGTTATACCCACGCGTTAGTGCCAGCTCATACAAAAAGGCCTCTGTTAAGTTGAACAGAGATTTATCGATCGGGCTGCCACAGCTGTTAAGATGCATTCACTTTTTCTTTTGACCTGACCACTTTTTTCAGATCTAATTTAGAGGTTGGTTTAAATAAAAACTATTTATAAAAAGGGCACAAACTCAATTGCACTGGTTATAATGTCAAATTCATGTCAATGCATCATTAAGTCATCTATTTTTTTTCCTTTTGCAATTAAGATTTGTTTAGTTGTATAAAAAGACGTTTTTTTTTTCATTTCAGCGAGGAATTCGTTGCCTTTTGAAAACGGAAAAGTCTTGCGTTTTACGAGTGCGGGAGGGCCTGACTTTTCGTTTTGAAAAGTAAATCACAGTTTTTTGTGAAAGTGAAAACCGGAGGTTGCCTGATAATGTAGTAATTGTGTTTAATGTTTATTGCTGGTACTCAAAAGGTATAGGGAAGACGGCGGCAACCTCTCGTGCCATGCTCAAATATTGGCAATTGTGTTGTTTTATTTTCAAAATTAAAACAAGCGGCCACGATACTCAGTCAATTAAAATTTAGAATACTCGAATTTGATGTTTCCATTTTTTCGCTATTGTTTTTAATTCCGCTCTTTCATTACCATTAATTTGAAAAATGTTAAAACAAATACATCATGAAAATGTCAAGCCAAAATATGACGTGACGCAATGCTACCAGAAATGGGGCTAGTTACAAAATTGCAAGACTCTGCGAATCGGGTAGAACTTGTTGTTTTACCCACTTTGGGACGCAATGGAAAAAGCTCATGATATTAACTACATATTTATGATAACTGATAATGTTATCACAATGTATTCATTATTTGGTTTACCCTCACTTAATACTAAAGTCTATAGCCAGATATACTCATACGCAGGGCCGTCCCAAGTTAAATTTGCGCCCGCAGCGAAGATTTAAAGCGACGCCTTCAAGCTCCCTTTATATTCTTTATTATATTATTATCTTTATACATATTTGTGTAGGGCTGTTTTTGGAATCAACAACCCACAGCCTATATCGTTGGCTCTAGCGACCTGATTTTTTTTAGATTGTTCCTTTTTAGCCAATGATTTCCGCTAACGAACCGATATTTGATCCTCCCACCAGAAGTATAGAAAATTGGTAAGAGGGGAAGAGGGCAAAGGCAAGACTCAAAATGCAAAACTTAAAAGCACGAAGCAAGAGGCAAGAGGAAAAAGGGCTAAATTATGTCTACGGTAATCCGATCGATTGCAATGTGGTCTGGTGAGATAAGTCAAGCGTTCCTATCCGAGGTCCCTAGGTTCAAACTCTGGGCAGGATTACTTTTTTTGTTTTCTTAAACAAATCTTTTTATAACCGTACTCAAAGAGAGTTAAGGGGTATATTTTATTTGTGGTAAAAGTGGATGTGTGCAACGCAGAGGAGGAAAAGTTTTCGACCCCATAAAGTATTCTTGATCAGCATCAATAGCCGAGTCGATATAACCATGTCCGTCTGTCTGTGCGTCTTGATGAGCGCCTGGATCTCAGAGACTATAAGAGCTAGAGCTCCAGACTAATGTGATATCACACTGCTACAAGTGTATTTCAAAATTTCGCCCCGCCCCCATAAAGGACGAAAATCTGTGGCAGGCAAAATTTTAAAGATACGATAAAACCAAAAACGCAGTATTGTAAAGAATGGCCATATCTACCGGGTTGTCGAATCTGAATCAGATCAGATAATAATTATAGCCAGAATGAAGAAATTGATTTTCAGTTGCTTCCCCCGCTTCCTTTATCAAGAGACCCGCTTCTCATTCTCTTTCTCGCTCGCACACTCTGCCTTGATATGTACGCGAGTGCCCGCTGGCAAGGAAGATGTAGAATCTAAATGGTACATGTATAATCTACATGTTAGCTGTAGAATATACATTGTAGGTGTAGATAACAGATGTAGCAAAAAAGTGTAAAATTTAAAATTTTTTAGAATTCTACATAAATCATAAGCTCAAAAATGTATATACTGACTGAGTACGGGTATAAAAGTAGATTCGCGTCCCCAGAGCCGACTCACACGTTCCTTCTCGTTTATTGTTAAATTGTTTCTTTTGGGCCAAAGATGCTCCCAACTCGGAATAAAATCAGCATTATGCCTAGCAAATCAAACAAAGCGTGGTTCGGTGGGATAAGTCGAAACTGCCGATTCGGGGGTCCTCGGTTCGAGGCCTGCACTTTTTATACCCGTACTCAAAAAAGAGTTAAGGGGTATATTAGATTTGTGGTAAAAGTGGATGTGTGTAACACAGAGAAGGAAACGTTTCCGACCCCATAAAGTATATATGTTCTTGATCGGCATCAATAGCCGAGTCGATATAGCCATGTCTGTCTGTCTGTCCGTCTGTCTGTCCGTCCGTCTTGTTGAGTGCCTGGATCTCAGAGACTATAAGAGCTAGGGCAACCAAATTTGGTTTTCAGACTCATGTGATATCACACTGCTACAAGTGTATTCCAAAATTTCGCCCAGCCCCCTTCCGCCACCACAAAGAACGGAAAATCTGTGGCAGGCACATTTTTAAAGATACGCTACAACTGAAAACGCAGTATCGTAGAGAATGCCCATATCTACCAGATTGCCGAATCTGAACTAGATCGGATTATAATTTTAGCCAGAATGAAGAAATTAATTTTCTGTTGGTTCCCCTGCCCCCTCCTGCAAGAGACCCACTACCTATTGCTTTCTCGCTCGCACACTCTGCCGCGTTCAGTGCGCGAGAAACCCCTAGCGGAGGAGATGAAGAATCTTAATGGAACATGTACAATATACATGTTAGATGTAGAATATACATTGTAGATGTAGATCTAGATGCAGATGTAGCAAAAAAATGTAAAATGCAAAATTTTTTTTTTTTTAATTCAAAAATTCTATAAAATTATATGCTGAAAAATGTATATGCTGACTGAGTACGGGTATAAGTAGAGTCGCGTCCCCAGAAGCGACTCACACGTTCAGTCTCGTTTTTTTTTTTTCTTAAGCAAATCTTTTTTTTAGGCCACTTTTGCTTTATTATCCACACACCAGAAACTTGCATTTTAAAATTGACCAGCCAAACTATGGTTAGCATGTTGTCTGCATTGTCTCCTTTCAAAGCATGATTATGTATACATTTTGTAATGTTTGAAACTCTATTAAAAAAGAACCATGAACCATTACCGGCAAATACTTTCTGTGCGTGAATTCCTGACAAATCGCGGTCCATAATCCATCCATCATAATCTCTGCCCCCCACCACCCCTAGCTTTAAATTGGTATAAATTATCTTTGTATAATATGCAATTGGTTATGAGGAAAGAAGAAAACGGTAACCACAACCAGGCCCTCTCCCTTTCTAGTATCCCGCGCCCGTACCATGAAGCGTGAAACGGAAATTGAATGGGAATTTGTTGCTGATGCCATATCTTGATGATTGTATAGAGTTATAGATTTATCTTTTTTTTAACTTGAGTAATATCGGATCCCAGACTTACCTTTTCAACGTTAGCCACTCCTCATAGGTCCTGGCCCCCTTATCATGAGTCCTGACGTCGCAGGCCATTTCAAAACTACTCGCTCTCTCGCCAGCGCCCGCGATTCTATTGTGGTTCCTGGAGCCATGCGGCTCATGTACATCCCAAAAAGAGCTGGTTCCAGTTTCTGTACCAGATACCAGCGACATCTCCCGCTCCGCTGAGGGCAACGATGCTACAGAATCATAATTGTCGGCTCCCGCATCTGTCTGGGAGAGGCCGCTCTGGTCGGCCTGGTGATTAATACTGGTACTGGGCTCGAGCTCCAAGGTCCATTGTTCGGAGAAACGGGTTGAGCGGCGCGGCTCAGTGACCACCCGGGGGGTCTCAGCTCGTCGGGGACTGGTGACTGCCTGGCGCATATTCCTTAGCCGCGTTCTGGAGCCCTCCATCTGCAGGCCCTCTTCACCGGAAATTATTCTCTCGGAGTTCGGGTACTGAGGGCTCCGGAGCTGCAGCCTGAACACACTATAGCTGGGTTTTTCAGAAGAACACGGGGGGGACGAGGAAGATGGAGCACGGCTGCAAATGTTTGATTCAAGCTCGTCCTTTCGCTGATCCATGGTGGGGTAAGCCTCCTGGCTAAGACCCGGACTAAGGTAGCTGTAACAGATGATTGATAATGCTGTGATCTGCGACATCCTAATTGTTGACGGACTTACCCCAAGCTATGTGCGCTTCCTAAATTAACGTATTTCGCTGGCATCGCGGATTCGCTTCCCAGCTGAACGGGGACTACCGTAGATTCCGTTGCAGTCGGGCCATCCGTACCCACGTTGCCGGCGATGCCGATACCTCCGAGATGGCTGTACTCGCTTTCGGGACAGCGACAGTTCTCAGTCAGTTGGTGGTCACTGCCGCGATTCATACTGAAACTTGAGCTTCTAGAAAAAATTTTGGTCCTGAAAAACAAATTGAAATCCAAATAATAATTTTGTTCTGTTGCCTTACCGATTCTAGATTCACTAAACTTTAATTTCCAGCGGCCTACTGCCAGCATAATTTCTCCTTAAAATATAAAGTTGAATTTTAATTTGCCTTCAAGAGCCATTGCACTATCGGAGCGGGGGTGACACTGACTGACATTCCAACCTAATTCTAACAAATTCTAAGTGTCACAGCAGGGTCTAGAGCAGCGATGCCCAAAGTCAGCTTACGGCAGGGCACTTACCAATACTCCCAAACAAAAACACAAATACGAATAAGGGAACAGTGAAATCTCGAAGAAAACACAACAACAAAATCATAACAAAAGTCGGGTAACACCAATCAGAGAAGAGACAAAACCGGTTTTTGCTGGACGGATCGCATACACACAAAGTTGTCTGCATGTGTTGGGCTGGTACACAGCACAAACTGTGTATGCACACAAGAATTGATTTCCTATGCTGAGGGCAATTACAAAAACAAAAGGGCTCGGAGGGCAATGGGCCTGGGCATCGCTGCTCTAGAGATTTAGAGAGAAGAGATTTGGTTAAATAAACGGCTACAACACATTTCACTCGTAGAAAGCGTAAAAGTGATAGAAAGGTTATTGAATTTCAGATTATTCTGATTTAATATTTTAAATATGGACATTTTCGCCGAATGGCTAACCAGGACCGAAAAATAAAATGGTCATAGGGTCATCATCGTATTTTTTTTGTGTACACTACTCGACAAAATTGAACTTTTTATTTACGCTTTGATCCAAACCGACTTTTTCTGATAGGCTTTACATTTTGTTTAAGAATTATTATTTTGTTTTTCTATGGCGGAACTTTTTTTAAAGAATTTTTAATAAATGGTATTGTTTGCTTATGCTTTTTTTCGGAGGTCCGTCATAGAACATTACATTTTTTAGCTGCATCTTTTATCTACATCTACATATTCAATGTATATTCTACATCTAACATGTATATTCTACATTTATCATTTAGATTCTACATCTCCTCCGCTGGGGGTTTCTCGCGCACTGATCGCGGCAGAGTGTGCGAGCGAGAAGGAGAATGAGTAGCGGGTCTGTCTTTGGCTGGTGGACGCGGGGGAACCAACAGTAAATTAATTTCTTCATTCTGGCTATAATTATGATCCGATCTGATTCTGATCTGAGATTCGGCAATCTGGTAGATATGGTCATTCTCTACGATACTGCGTTTTTAGTTTTATCGTATCTTTAAAATTGTGCCTGCCACAGATTTTCGTCCCTTTGTGGTGGGGGCGGGGCGAAATTTTGAAATACACTTGTAGCAGTGTGATATCACATGAGTCTGGAAACCAAATTTGGTTACCCTAACTCTTATAGTCTCTGAGATCCAGGCGCTCAACAAGACGGACATGAAATGTCATTACTTTGCATTTCGAGGCATTTAGGTGTAACATATTTGCACAAAACCATGACTGAAAGTTATTGAGATCGGATTGCAAGCGAGAGTGAAATGAAATGTCCTTATACTGGACACAAAGTTTAACATCATCCGCATACATGAGTACTCGAGAGTTTGTTAATACTGAAGGCAGATCATTAATAAAGAGTGTGAATAGTAGGGGGCCTAGATGGCTGCCCTGTGGTACTTCCGAAGTAACCTTAACAGGTGAAGAGAAGGAGTTTTTGAAGAGGACTCTTTGAGACCTAGAACGAAGGTAGCTAGAAATCCATCTCAAAAGATTAGGTGGAAACCCTAAAAGGTCAAGTTTTTGTGCTAGAAGAAAATGGTTTATAGAATCGAATGCTTTACTAAAATCAGTAGGATGGTAGGAGTCTTCAGGTATACTGAGCGGAAGGGCTCGGGTTAACAACGCTATGGTCGGATCCGAGACAAAGCACAGATCAAGCAATCGACCCAAGGAATTTTTCACATGGTTGACTTGAGACAGGGATATGTCTAACCTGCCGTCGATAAAGTCATGCCGTGACATGGGCACAAGGTTATTAGACTCGTTTACGGAAGACCAACCAGTACCTGGCAAATTGAAATCACCAAGAACTATCATATGGTCTTTATCTGATAGCGAGGAAGAAACTGTTTTTAAAGCGGACATGTGATGCTCGTATATTAAGATATCCGAGGAAGGTGGAATATACGAGCAAAGCAGAGCAAAGTCAAAGCTTTATTTTAAATCTTCTAGACAATGTAGCACCATTTTATCTTATCTGCAATGATGGTCTCTTGGCATTTTTCTCTTCTTAATAGATGGCAATTAAGATATTTGGAAGAAAGAGTGCAAACATAACATATGTTTTGCATGTGAAATATTTAAATATAACGAGAAGGAACGTGTGAGTCGCTTCTGGGGACGCGACTCTACTTATACCCGTACTCAGTCTGTATATACATTTTTGAGCTAATGATTTTTTAGAATTAAAAAAAAAAACCTTTTACATTTTTTTGCTACATCTGTTATCTACATCTACAATGTATATTCCACATCTAACATGTAGATTGTACATGTACCATTTATATTCTACATCTCCTCCGCTAGGGGTTGCTCGCGCACTGAACGCGGCAGAGTGTGCGAGCGAGAAAGAGAATCATAAGCGTCAGCAGCGCTGGAGAAGGAGAGGGAACCAACAGAAAATTCATTTCTTCATTCTGGCTATAATTATGATCCGATCTGATTCAGATTCGGCAATCTGGTAGATATGGTCATTTTCTACGATACTGCGTTTTTAGTTTTATCGTATCTTTAAAATTGTGCCTGCCACAGATTTTCGTCCTTTATGGGGGCGGAAGGGGGCGGGGCGAAATTTTGAAATACACTTGTAGCAGTGGGATATCACATGAGTCTGGAAACAAAATTTGGTTGCTCTAGCTCTTATAGTCTCTGAGATCTAGGCGCTCATCAAGACGGACAGACGGACGGACGGACCGACGGACGGACGGACGGACAGACGGACATGGCTCTATCGACTCGGCTATTGATGCTGATCAAGAATATATATACTTTATGGGGTCGGAAACGTTTCCTTCTCTGCGTTACACACATTCACTTTTACCACAAATCTAATATACCCCTTAACTCTTTTTTGAGTACGGGTATAATAAAAATGCTTTCAAAAGTATCTAAAAGTGAAGAAAAACACTTTTTTCAATTTTCAGTCAACGATACGATTATATTATACAAATTTGGACATTTCTTTATAACACTACCCGACACCATTTTTCCGCTTCGAACTTTTTATACCCGTACTCAAAAAAGAGTATTGTATTTGTGGTAAAAGTGGATGTGTGTAACGCAGAGAAGGAAATGTTTCCGACCCCATAAAGTTATATATTCTTGATCAGCATCAATAGCCGAGTCGATATAGCCATGTCTGTCTGTCCGACTGTCTGTCTGTCCGTCTGTCCGTCCGTCCGTCTGTCCGTCTCGATGAGCGCCTAGATCTCAGAGACTATAAGAGCTAGGGCAACCAAATTTGGTTTCCAGACTCATGTGATATCCCACTGCTACAAGTGTATTTCAAAATTTCGCCCCGCCCCCTTCCGCCCCCACAAAGGACGAAAATCTGTGGCAGGCACAATTTTAAAGATACGTGTTTGAGCTATTAAGCGTTTTTAATAGCTATTTTAATTAAATTTAAGAACAGAGCCGATAAATTTATTACAATTTTATTTTATTAGTATTTAGTAGCGGCAGTACGCGTATTTAATATGTTTGCTTAAGGTATATAGACCGAACGTTCTGAATATCAATAATTGACTGATCGCAAGGCAAAATGGGCCGACTGCCCGTGCCCTATGCATAACGAGAGCGTGAGAGCATTATGGCATAGTTAGGCTCGGCGTCTGAGCCGAGTAGAGCAAGAGAGCTGCTTAAACGCAGCAGGTGCAGCAGCAACACGAAGGCAGCGGGAGACAGCCGCCAGAACAGCCGCTGCCGGGCGTAGGCATATGCGTTATGCTGCTTAACCCGACATACTCCCCCCGTTGGAAGCCTGACTTTCAACAGCATCTTTAAGGGGAAGCAGACACAGCTTGTTAACGGCTCGCTTGGTCATTCCAGATGCAGTCTTCAGAACAGCGACTCGGGCGACGCCATCTCTTCCGGGTAATAGTTCGACCACCCTAGCTAGTGGCCACTTCATGGGAGGGAGATTCTCATCCTTAACAAGGACCACATCTGCGACTGCCAAACTAGGCTTCGGCGTGCGCCACTTTGAGCGCTGTTGCAGTGAAGTGATGTATTCTTCCTTCCATCGGGACCAGAAGATCTGCTGCAAATATGAAACGCGCTGCCATCCGTTCAGGCGATCGAATTTTAGCTGAGTTACGTCAGGCTCAGCGAACGAAGCAGGAGGTCCGCCATTCAAGAAATGAGCTGGAGCTAAAACGTCCAGATCGGCATGATTCTCTGAAATGGATACTAAGGGTCTTGAATTAATAACTGCCGTGATGTGGAATAACAGCGTAAGCAGTTCTTCAAATCCAAGCACCGAGGTGCCTATAGCACGATAGAAGTGATACTTGGCCGTCTTCACTGCAGCTTCCCACAGGCTTCCAAAGTGCGGGGAGCGTGGCGGTATGAAGTGCCAGTCAATAGCCTCAACCAAACAAAATTCCAGGACCGCCTTCTGATGGTCGTCGCTGAGAAATAGGCGCTATAGATCCAAAAGCTCATTCCTGGCGCCGACAAAATTGGTTGCGTTATCTGACCAAATTTGTCGCGGCCTTCGTCTTGTGCATATGAACCGCTTTAGGCCGTGCAGAAAGGAGACTGTAGACAAATCCTTGATCAGCTCCAAATGAACAGCCCTAGTCGCAAAGCAAATGAAGACGCAGACGTAGCATTTGATTGGAGCCTTGCTGCGTGCCTCTGCCTTGTAGAAAAAAGGGCCACAAAAGTCGACGCCTGTGATCTCAAAGGCATGAGAACCATCTAGCCGCTCCTTCGGAAGATCCGCCATGATGTGCTCCAATACTCTAGGCTTCGTTTGAAAGCATCTTACGCACTTGTTTACGGCCTTGGTTACCGTTTTC